ATACTGTTGTGTGCGATCGAAAGTGTCCGGGTCTGATTTCGCCAGAGTTCTATGTGTTGCTGCGTCGAACAAGAGCAGGAAACTCGTCGATGTAGTTGTGCTTGTATCACGCAACGATGTGGTAATTGAGGGGTCCAAATTCGTGCCGACGCGCGGGCCTGAACGTGTAGATCGGTGGCGAGATTTGGTTATAGCAGGGTCGGTCCAAAACTTTTCGTTGCATCATGAGGTCGAGGAGAAAGTGTCCGATATACGGGACTATATAGGGAATTCCTTAGCACGACCGGGAGTGTTTGTCAGGATGAATACATGTCCGTCTTTTCGGAGAGTGCATCAGTCGACGAATTGCAGATCCGCATGTACGGATCATCAATGAATGCTTTGTATGGCTTCAGTGCACGACCTCGTCCCCGGTGAACCCCGAATGTCACTGGATCTGGACGTGTGGTCAGACTTAAGTGAAAGTTTACTCGCACTTTGCTTAAGTGAGGGTTAGCTCGCACGTAAGTAAGAGTTCACTCGCACTTTGATTAAGTGAAGAGCTTGTCGATATGCGGTGCGGGCGTGACGGTTGAGTGTTGGCCGCACCAGGGGACTTATCATTGGATAACTTTATTTACGACGGTCGACACGTCCATTTGTGTCGTTTGTGTGTTCATGATGTGTAGGGAGCGTAATGTCGTCGAGACCTTCGACAAGCGTCAGCATGAGTCCCGAGACGCACATGCACTTGAGTCCCGAGAAGCACATGCGCTTGGCAAAACCATTTTCACCTTGTGCAACATCGGTGCGGCATCATGACGGTAAAACGTGGATCAACGAAGCAGCCAAGGAGGACTTCGACGAGGACCCATGGATGCCCGTCAAACCGTACATGAACCGACATCTCGACGAATGGAACAATAATGATTGGAAGGCGATGGAGCGTGTCTGCCCTTGGGCAAGCCATTACAAGTTTGCCAACATGTTGGAGTTCGGGAACCTCATTGCACTGCCTGATGGTGTCCTGCAGCGAAAGACCCTGGACGATAAGGGTAAACCGATCCACTACCGTACCAGCTTCAGACGTCGCCTCGGCAACGAGTACATCACATCTTCCCCATGAACTTTGGGAAGTTCGCAGAAGCAAGAGTTGGTGGACTGCGCTCGTCAGTGTTCATTCTTGGAACAATACCCACCCCGTTGCCCAGGGACTTCTCCACAAGCTCTATCGTACTGTTGTGTGCGGTTGACGGATGACGGATGTCCTTTCGCCAGAGTGCTATG